CTGCTTTCATTGTGTCCCATAGATTCTGATATGTTGTATTGTCATTGTCATTTAATTGAAGGAACTGCCTGATTTCTTCTTTAATTTCCTCTGTGACTCATTGGTTATTTAGAAGTGTGTTGTTCAATGTCAATGTGTTTATGCAATTTTTGCGGTTTCTCTTGCTATTGATCTCCAATTTCATTGGCGTATGGTCTGATCATATACAGGGGATAACTTCAGTTCATTTGCACTTACTTAAATATGTTTTATGAGCAGGTATGTGCTCTATTTTGAAGAATGGCCCATGTGTAGCTGAGAAGAATGTGTATTCTGATTTGGTGTGGAAGACTCTGTAAACATCTGTTAAGTTCATTTCTTCAAGAGTTCAGTTCAGTTGTATTTCGTTGCTTATTTTTTGTCTAGTTGATCTATCTATTTGTGACAGTGGGGTATTGATTTCCCCCTCTCCTATTGTATTAGTGCTTATATGATATTTCATGTCTGTTAGTATTTTTTTTATGTAGTTGGGCATGCTAGTGTTTGGTGCATAGATATTATGATTGTCATCTCTTCCTCTTGGATTTTTCCTTTTACAAGGATGTAGTGTCCTTCTTTGTTTGTCTTAGTCAGTGTTGGTTTGAAATCCACTTGATTTGCAAAGAGGATAGCTACTCCTGCTTTTTGGGGGGTTCCTATTGCATAGAGTATTGTTTTCTACCTTTTAACTTTCAGTCTATGAGTTTCTTTTTGAAGTAAGTGTGTTACTTGTATGAGCATATTGTTGGATCTTGCTTCTTGACCCATTCTGCCAGTCTATTTCTTTTGATTGGTGAATTGAGACCATTACATTGATGGTTATAACATTGATGGTTTTAACATTGATGGTTATAATTGATGATATATATTGACTTATCATTGTCATGACTTTTTCTTTTTGTTGGATTCTCCCCTTTACATTTAATTTCTTGTCATGCCCATTGGATTCATTCTTCTGGGCTTCCTGGGGTTATGATCCTCATTGTCTGTTCCTAGGACATATCTAAAATTTTTTGGAGTGCTGATTTTGTATCCACGAAGTTCCTAAGGTGTTCTTTGTCATGAAAGTACCTTATTTGTCCATCAGTTCTGAAAGATAGTTTTGCAGGGTCCATCAATCTGGGTTGGAGGCTGTGTTCCTTTAGGGCTTGCAATACATCACTTGAAGCTCTTCTTGCCTTGAGTGTTTGCATTGAGAAGTCTGATATGATTCTGATGGACTTTCCTTTGTATGTGTTTTGTTTCTTTTCTCTGACTGCTTGGAGAACTTTATTCTTCTGTTGGGGTTCTGGAATCTTAACTATTACATACCTATGCATAGAGGTTTTTTTTGATCAAGGCTAGTTGGAGTCCTATATGCCTCACTTATCTGTATGTCAAGTTCTTTTCCCCTGCTTGGGAATTTTCTGCCATTACTTCTGTGAACAGTTTTTTCATGTCATCTGCACTCTCTCCTGTTTCTTTGTTGACTCCAATCAGTCTTATGTTATTCTTCTTTGCATCATCTAGCAGCTGGTGGATTGATTTCTCATGGTCCCTTACAATTTTGAAGCAATTTTTCTTTTCCCAGTCACTAATTGCAGTCTTATTGTCTGTATCTGAAATTCTGTCCTCACATTGGCTCATTCTGCTGTGTAGACTTTCAATGGAGTTTTTAATCTCCTGCAAATCTTTTTGCATCTGTCTCATGTATTCCATTTGTTTCCTTTGTTCGATTCCATCATGTTCCTTACCTCCTCTATTGTTTTTATCTGTGTCCTCTCTAGATTTATTAATCATGTCTTGCACTATGGGCACAATCTCTGCTGTTATCTGAAAAATTATTTCTGATTTCATTTTTTCCAGCTCCTCTTTTGTTGGCAGTTCACGGAGTCCAGGTGGTTGGTTATCAGAGTGTTCCATCTCTTTTCCCTTTGAGATTGCTGTAGGTGATCTGGAAGTCTAGTTTTTAGACTTGCTTGCATGTCTTCTCATTTTGATGGGGGTGGGGGCATGCTGTATGCCACCTGCACGGCTTATCTCCTCTGCGCAGGGAGCGGCAGAATGGCGGCCCAGAAGCCCCTTCCTCTGGACTTGAAAATATTTTTTTCTAACTAAATTGGTTAGATAATTGTTCTCCAGTTTCTTCTTCACATAAATGTACTTTAGAGATAATCGGTTAATTTATTTCATTTCTAAATACATCAAAGGCTGTGTAAGAGGAAGACATACCTGGCAACTACAGATATTTGGACCAATATAATTCTTTGTGATGTTGATTTTCATTGACACTTGAAGAATGGTTATTTAAAAATACGAGTCAACTTATTTTTCAGACATTCAGAAAGAATTATCAATATCCTGAATCATTAGATGTATTATCGAATGTCGGATGTGCCTTGTCTATTGCTGGACTCACTCTTACGATCATATTTCAGATTGTCACCAGGTAAGAAGAGAGGGAATTAGTTGTTATAAGAGAAGTTGCTACCTTGATTTAATTTATTCTGGGCATAGTCTCATCAGAATATCATATCCCTGAAATAGAAGGGAACTGAGTTCAAATGCGTATTTTACCGCCTCAAGAAGCTAAGGGATACACTCAGATAAATATATAATTTAAAATTATGGTAAGTGCCTTGAAGTAAAATTATGTCTCACTTAATTACAAGTTTTTCAAGTAAGGTGAATGTTGTCCTACAACTCATAAATGCCACAGTTACTTTGCATAGAAGCATACCTAACAATTTGCATTGTAAAAATATTTACTTATTTATTTTTAGGAAAGCCAGAAAAACCTCAGTAACCTGGGTGTTGGTCAATCTGTGCACATCAATGTTGATTTTCAACCTTCTCTTTATGTTTGGAATTGAAAACTCCAATAAGAACTTGAAGACAAATGGTCATGATATCAATAATATTGACTTTGATAATAATGATGTGCCCACAAGAGACACTATTGACATCCCAAATTCCTCATGCACTACAATTGCTGCCTTTCTGCATTACTTTCTGTTAGTGACATTTACTTGGAATGGACTCAGTGCTATACAGCTCTATTTCCTTCTTATCAGGACCATGAAGCCTTTTCCTCAACATTTCATTCTTTTTATCACATTAGTTGGATGGGGTAAGTGTTTGCATCTTCACTCACTTGGGATATTAATTTTGATGCAATCACTTAAACACCTCTTGAAAGCCTAACAGGGAGGGCGTGGAGGGCCCATGGAGGTGACAGGCCACAGAGTAATGGCAGACGGTCACAAGCCCCTTCCAGCATGGGGAGGCTGCTCGACTGATGGGCCGCAGGCCGCAGCCAGTGCTGTGGGATGTAGAGAGGGAAACCACGGCCCCCAGGACTGCCTGCCCACCTGGCCTGTCTGCCATCACAGGGAGATCTCTGCCCCTTGGGGCTGAGAGACCCCAACCTATCCCCAAGCTGAAGCTGCAAGGTATTGAGGTACCAGCCAGATGTCTTCCCACAAAGGATCCGTGGCAGCACAGGGCACTGGAACTCCTGCCAGCAACAGGGAAACTGACACAGTGGAACTGGCTGAACTGGGACTTCTGCTAGAAGAGAAAGGCAAGCGGGTAATCACCAACCCAATCAAAGTTGAAGATGAGCAAACATGCTCATTGCCCCAGGAAGAGGAGGAGGTGTGGGTGCTGCCACTCCCCCTGCAGGCCCACCATGCCATGGAGAAGATGGAGGAGTTCCTGTATAAGGGCTGGGAGGGCCGTTGGAGGGTCATCCCATATGACATGCTCCCTAACTGGCTGAAGGACAATGACTACTTGTTACATGGCCACTGACCACCCATGCCTTCCTTCTGGGCTTGCTTCAAGAGCATCTTCCGAATCCATACAGAAACTGGCAACATCTGGACCCATCTACTTGGTTTTGTGCTCTTTCTCTTTTTGGGAATCCTGACCATGCTCCAACCAAATATGTACTTCATGGCCCCTCTACAGGAGAAGATGGTTTTTGGGATGCCCTTTTTGGGTGCAGTGCTCTGCCTCAGCTTCTCCTGGCTCTTTTACACCATCTATTGTCATCCAGAGAAAGTCTCTTGGACTTTTTCCAAACTGGACTATTCAGGGACTGCTCTACTGATCATGGGGAGCTTTGTCCCCTGGCTCTATTTTCCTTCTACTGCTCCCCATAGCCTCAGCTCATCTACCTCTCTATAGTCTGTGTACTGGGCATTTCTGCCATCATTGTAGCAGTGTAGCAGTGGGACCAGTTTGCCACTCCTATGCACTGGCAGACAAGAGCAGAAGTGTTCCTGGGACTTGGCTTGAGTGGAGTTGTGCCCACTATGCACTTTACTATTGCTGAGGGCTTTGTCAAGGCCACCACAGTGAGCCAGATGGGCTGGTTCTTCCTCATGGCTGTGATGTACATCACCGGCACTGGCCTTTATGCTGCTTGTATTCCTGAGTGCTTCTTTCCCAGAAAATTTGACATATGATTCCAGTCTCATCAGATTTTCCATGTTCTGGTGGTGGCAGCAGTCTTTGTCCACTTCTTTGAGGTCTCCAGCCTGCAGGAATTCCATTATGGCTTAAAGGGCTGATGTACTGATGACTCCCTGCTCTGAGCCTTTTCACTCATATGGTGGAGGAGCAACTTCCCAAGTGCTTTTAAAGACAACTTCTTTAAAGAAGAAGTGAAAGGAAGACTCTGAGCTGTCTGTTTCTAGAAACCTCTTAGAGAATTCAGTACCAATCAAGCATCAGCTCACTTTGACAGCCACTGGGCAGTAGACTTTCCATTTCCATTGCCCAGTTGGGGAGGGTGCAGAGAGCCAACGTAGTCATCGCTCTGCCCCACAATCATCCTCCTCGCCAAAGCAACTACTTACTGGTCCCTCCAGAGACTATACTTTGAGCTCATGTTGAGATTTTACCCCCTCCTCCAGCCATTTTGGGAAAAATTATGGACTGGGACACTTCAGAAATTTTTTTATCTGAAAGAAAAATGTCCCTCCCTTGCCCCCATCCTTACTTTGTAACCAGGCTTATAACAGCCCATCTATTTTTGTAGCACAGTTTTCAAAAACAATTATAACTTGGCTCCATCTTTCTAGGGCCTAGATATGCTTTACACAGCAGGAAGAATAAAGCCACCAACTTTTACATAGCCTGGCTAATCATGGAAGTGTGTCCAGGCTTCAGATAACTTGAGTTTTAATTTTGTTTTCCCTTGGCAGAGTAATGTAAAATTAAAATGGGGAAAGATATTTAATATTTAATACTAAGCTTTAAAAAGAAACTTGCTATCATTGCTATGTATCTTGATGCAAAGATTGATAATAATAAAAGAAAGTATAGAATAAAGCCTAACAATTCAAGATCTTGAGGTAGGGAAGTAGGAAACAGAGAAATCTCTAAGAATACTTTTTGTTTAGTAGCTTAAACTCCAGTGAAGGAGGCAGATAAGAAAAGGTATGTTAGATACATCATAAGCTAAGTTAAAGATGTTAATTTTTAATGCTGGCTGTGGTGATGCATGCCTATAATCCCTGCACAAAGGAAGCTGAGGCAGGAGGATTGCCACAAGTTCAAGGCCTGCCTGGGATATAGAGTGAGTTCAAGACCAGCCTGAACTACATAGCAAGGCCCTGTCTCAAAACAAACAAACAAAGATGCTAACTTTTAAAACATCTCCTTATTTACTTACTTAAGACTTGGACCATAAATAATTAAATTCCTACCAACTTTAAAGGTTTTCAAAAAGAAAATCATAATGATTCTTAAAGAATTATCTGATACTTTTATTGGTTTCCAACAAAATGAAATCAAAATTTAAACTTCAAGTGAAAGAAGAAATAAGACATTTATGAAAACTGTGGCAAGAATTACAAAGAAATCAGAAATAATATAGGGCTGGTATGTAGATCCAATACTAAAAAAGGAAAAGAAAACAGGAAAATATTATGTTTTCTGTTGACCTACATCAGTAGACCTGTTAGTCTGTTGTCACAATGGAAAGAACAATACATCCTGAAAAGGGTCAGATGTATAATTCATTTGCAGCCTTTTATAATTAATCTCAGTCCTGGATAAATTATTAATTCTGTACTTCTCTTTATCACATAGGAGTCCCAGCTATAATAGTGGGTGTCACAGTGGGAATTGTTTATTCTCAGAATGGGAATGATTCACAGTGGGAATTAGACTATCGACAAGAAGAAATGTGAGTTTATTTTTAAAAAATGCCTTTTCTTTGACAGAACAGTACAGCTATTCAGTGATTTTGACTCCAATTAACATTTCTGAATTGTCATACTTGGTGGTGGGCATTTCAAATTCTCAAAAAACACATATACTCAAAGTGGTTATATGGAAACTGCCCATGATAAAGCCTTCTGAAAAGCAAGCAATCATCTTCTAGCTTTATAAATCTGAATTTTCTTAAATTTACCTTCTCTCATTAAGTCTGAAAACCATATGACACAGTTATGATTTGTAGCAATCCTATATCTTAGTTCCTTCATCTAGAAAAAAAGAAATAACATAGTACCCCAGCTCTGGAGTTACTATGAGGGGTCGAGCAGCATGAAAGCATTTAATAATTTGAAGAATATCCATGTCTCATTTGGATGAATTGATTCTACAAATATATGTTTATAATGAATATTTCATGGTGATTTATCACACATAACAAATTCTTCCTATGACACCAGCATAAATAATTTTTAGTGATGGAAGTACCTGACCATATGGTGTTCACATTTTTAAAAAATGTTTTATTAGTATATGTTTAATATATAATACTTACATCCATCTTGGGGAATTGGTATGCATAGATATCACATCTTGATCTTGTTCCCCCCCCACTCCCCTCTTTCTTTTTCCTCAGATCCTCTTCTTATTTCCACAGACTCTACCTTCCTGTTTCCTATTATGTCCCTTTTATTTTGGTTTTCAAATTTTTATATTTTGAGTCTTTCACATTGGAGAAACCATGCAATATTTAACTTGTGTCTGATTTATTTCATTTAGTAGTATGGTCTCAAGTATGGTTTCTGTATGGCCAAGTAGTACTCCATTATGTATATATACAACATTTTCTTTATTCATTCATCTGCTGATAGGCATATGGGCCATTTCTATGATTCAACTATTGTGAGTTGTGCTGCTGTTTGCATTTAGGTGGGGAAAGAGAGAAAAAAGCTGAGCTGATCTGAGGCTCAAAGTCTTCATGTGTATTTCTTCTACCAAACAGCAACTACTCTTTGATTTATCCTTCATTTTTAAAAAAATCCACCTATTCTTATCCCCAGATTCCACTTTAGTCTCAAATCAACTCAAATGAAAAAACATACTGTGGGAAATATACAAGCACATGCAGATAGAGCTGTGGTGCCAAGGGGACTTAGCTGACTATGCCAAATATAAACCAGGGAGCTGACTATCTGGCCAGATTTTACACTCCCAAATTCTCTTTTGTGTGTGTGTGTGTTTATTTATAGTTAAATATCTTTTAAAGTTTTAAATTGCTATTTCCACAATTAGAGATAAGATGCAAATATCTCATGGGGGAGGTAATTCACTTTGAACTGCATTATTAATTAATTTCCTATCTTAGCCTAGTCATAGGGCTAAACCTAGTTCTATAAAAACAACCTTCATGAGAAAGAACCCAACTGACAAATTTCTTCACACTGAGCTATACAAAATGAAGAGCAGAGCCTTTAATGGATACAGTGTTAGTTCCTGGAGAAGATAATAGGTGACTAATAGTAAAAGAAGCTGGGAAGGCAGGAAAGGGTGTGGAACTTGGTTGTCACTTTATTTATTTATTTATTTATTTATTTATTTATTTATTTACTTTTTTGGTACTGGGGATTGAACTCAGGACTGTGGTTGCAAGGCAGGCGGGGGAACCACTGAGCTAAATCCCCGGTCCATTGTCACTTTGTATCAGGGCTCTGGCACCAAACTTCCACCCTACACACACACCATCAAGGGTCACATTTCCTCAGGATGTATTGAGGAGGAATTGGTTTCATTTTACCTGAATTACCCTCCCAGTAGTTGCTCCTCAAGATCCTGTGCTCTGCTCCCCTGTTGACAGCTCTGCTGGTCCTCCTTGAAAGCCCAGACCCCTTCTCTGACCTACTACTATCTCTGCATGGCACTGTGTAGGGGCGAGTACAGGATAGGTTAAATTAAGCTTCCTTAATGTTCTGAACCCCAAATCTCTCTGTGTCACTACCACAGAAGCTCTTTCAAACTTTACTGAAGGGAAAAGGTAGATGTTAATTATGGGAAATTATGACATACTGGAGATAAATTTCTCATGCATATTTTATATACATTAAAATTGTTTTTTCCCTTGGACCATGGCAAAATTGTCAAAGTGTTAAACACTGAATCTGAGGTTCACTTATGATGCTCTCTAGACCTCAGGTCCTTGGATGTTTTTCAGATCAACATCCATTCTATGAATTTCCAGTCTGATCACTAGAAACCTCATTCCGTAACTGCAACAGTTAATCTCACTGTAGGATCCATAGCCTTTCTCAACATTCTATTTCTCAAAGCTTGAGGTATTCAATTCAAAATAAAGAAATGGTATGTTGTCTTAGCTACTTTCCTCATTGCTAAAACACAATGCCCAACACCCACAACTTAATGGAGGAAAGGTTTATTTTGGCTCTCAGTTTGTGAGAGGCTTTTGTCCATACACCATTGGCCCCAAGGCAGGGGCCACAGCAGAAGGGTATGGCAGTAGAGAAAAGGCTTCTGGTATGGCAGCAGAAAGCAGAGAGAGTGATTAAGAGAGGAGGGACAGAGTTAAAGCTTTCCAGGCCACACTCTCACTGACTCAACTCAGAGACACTTTGCACTACTTCGAGAAAGATAGTCATGCTGCATTTGTTCTATGACAGCTGTTATGGTTTACATCTAGATGTCCCCCCAAAGTCTCATGCACTCATAGGTGGAGATTTGGGGAGGTAATTGGGTCATGGGCCATGATACTCATTAGTGGATTAGTTCACTGAAGGATTTATAGCTAAATGTGAAGTTGAAAGGTGAAGCCTAGGCAAAGGATAGAGGGAGTGAGGATCCACTCCTAGTGGACACCTCCTGATGGAGGTCAGTACCCAAATTGATGTTCTTTCTGGCTCTCTCTCTCTCTCCTACAAATATTAATTCTCATAACTTATATCTTCAAAATCTACATAGTTCCAGACTCATATTTGTCTAATTGTTTAATCTTTAGCAAATCTACCTTTATCCTGTATAATTGGATTGTCCTTTTTTTTTTAATCTTTCATTCTTTTTAAACTTTGTTTCTCAAGGCTTCCTGATAGGAAATAGGTTCATCGTTTTCTTTGAAAAAATTTGCCATCCACTTGCTTAGTCACCAAAGAGACTTCTAGAGATTTGAAAGTAGTTTTCAGAAGGATTTGATTAAATTCTTACCCAAGGGCCCTCATTTTTTCTCTGTATGGGGTTGTGAGGTGGGACTGGCTAGAGGACTGTCTTCCAGTCACAAATGAAAGGAAAAAGAGGTTAGATAGAAGTCCTAAAGATAAACTTTGCTTATTTTCATCACTTTATTTCGGGTTGGATCTATTATATCTGTTACAGGCAAGCATACCTCTTCATTTTTTAATTCATTACAGAGACTTGAAGATCATCTCAGTTTCCTCCTAGGTCATTCAGATTAGATATGCAATTTCTAATACAGTAATTTATTTATTTTTCATTCATTAATTTTATCGGTACATTTTAGGTATACAATGTGCAGACATTCATTATTGGGAATGATTATCTTAACATAATATATCTTGGTTCTTATTTTTTCCCCATTCCCCTGCCCTCCTTCAACCCCTTCATCCCTCCCCATTTACAAAGACTTTGTTTCCATGTTTTGCTTTTCTCATATTTGTTCCTTTCCCTTCTTTCCTTTCCCCTACCCCTTCCACTTTCCCTTCCCCTGTGGAATTTTTGTTCCTATTTCACTCTAATACATTTAAATGAAAGCATTTAAATGCAAAATAATTTAGAAATTTTTCAGCATACATAACAATGGTGTTTCCCCCTAGGGGAAAGAAAATACATAGCAACTGAGTATCAAATGTGTGCTACCCTTCTTCTTGGTTTTTTTTTTGTTGTTGTTGTTAAATTCTTTTATTGGTACATTTTAAGTATACAACACAATTACATTTCTCATTGGGAATTGTACCTTTACATAATGCATCTTGGTTCTTATTTTTTCCCCATTCCTAGC